GGAGGTGGTAGTGAGAGGATTCACCAGAGACAGAGTGGGGAGCAGAACAGGCAGATCAACAAAGTACACTGCTGAGGGGAGCAGCGGACGGGTCATTTTTTTTTTTTTAAAATACACTCTCAGTTCTTCTGCTCATTTGGCTTTTGTCTCAGGTGTAAAAATCATTGTCTTTCCCTTACAGACTTTACCTGTCAGCTTCTTGAAAGCAGGAATTTGTGTCTTACTCTGCATTTTATTGTGCACAACTGGATGAAAAAGAAGTAGTTATTGCATTAAGTGTAGTCATTTGTTACTCACGTTATTGACAAAATATAAAATTGACCCAAACCACTTTGATTTAAATCATGGCTCATAATAGTTTTAAGATTGTTATTAGTCTTGTCAGTTCCTGATTTAGACAGTTACATGTAGACTTACTGGATGGAATTATATAGTTCTAAAATATGCTATTTATTTACCAAGTAAATAAAAACTAAGTGACCTGGAAAAAACAAACTGACATAACTTTTATGAAAGTAAAGTATGTTGAAATAGCTGAAAACATATTTTTTTTGTTTTCAAAGACTTCAGTTTTCTTCTAGTTAAACTTAGGGACTTGGGGCCACCCTGGGTGGCCTTGGGGTTAAGTCTCAGCGTTATCACTGCTACAGCCTGAATTTAACCTGAGTTCCATCCACAGCCAGGGAGGTGACCCACATGGCACAGCAGGCCTCTCCTGACCCACCCAGTGCTCCCTCAGCAGTGTCCTTCTTTGATCTGCCTGTTCTGCTCCCCACTCTGTCTCTGGTGAATCCTCTCAACACCCCCACCCACACCTCTAGTCTGCACTCCAGAAAGTGAAAAAATACAAGCTTAGGCACTTACAGATCTACTTATAAAACAGGAGGGAGAGCTGTACTGGTATAATGTTACATACACTGCAAAGTAATATTCAGGACTTCATTTATAGGCATACAAACTTTACCACAAAGAATTTGTTAGTGTTTTCTTAAATCTCAGGACTTTTATCTTCATTCCTTGAAGTAAGCTATATTGAGTAGAACTGAAAAGTTTTTATACAAGGGGAAAAAATATTTACATGTTCCTTTCATAGATTTAAGCACAAGTAGTAAAATGATATATTACTGGGTTATCTAATGATTAAAATATTCATGCATTTATGGATTAATTTTCCTTATTTATGTTTTTTTATTAAAGATTTATTTATTTTTGCATACAGAACTGGGGTACAGGCCAGAGACGCAGGGGTGGCGAAAGACTTCGCCAGAGACAGAGCAGGGAGCAGAACAGGCAGATCGACGAAGTACACTGCTGAGGGGAGCAGCGGGCAGGTCAGGAGAGGTCTGCTGCGCTGTGTGGGCCACCTCCCAGGCAGGCGGGAATCGAACTCATGCGGAAGTGGTTTCAGCTTCTTAGTGCTGTGCTTTAACCCGCTGCGCCACCAAGGAGGGCCTTATTTATGTTCTTTATGGCAAAAGGTGTATTCATTTTATTAAGGGAGGACTGGATAGGGAAAGAGCAGAACTGGCTGTACCACTTGCATGGAGAGGACTGCATTGGTAGTAAGCAGAATAAAGGCTTAATAAAATGAATAAGCTTTTGAAATCTGGCAGATCTGAATTTAAAACCCAAATTCCAGGAATACTGCTTTAAAGCTATTTGAGAGCCCTTCCTGGTGGTGCAGTGGGTTAGGACACAGCACTACAAGCTAGGCGCAGCCACTTAAGTGCGAGTTCTATCCCCAGCCCTGGAGGTGACCACATGGCATGGCAGACCTCTCCTGACCCACTCGCTATTCCCCACAGCAGTGGACTTTGTCAATCGTGCCTGTCCTGCTCCCTACTGTCACTGGTAAGGCTTCTGGTGCACTGCCTCTGCACCTCTGGCTTATACCCCAATTCTATATGCATAAATAAATAAATAAATAAATAAATAAAATCTTAAAAAAAAATACTATTTGATCTTAAGCAAGTTACCCTACTTCCTTGAGATTGTTTTTTATTCTGTGCTAGTAGCAGTACATATTTTATAGGAATGTTGAAGAATTAATGACTGCTAGTACTTAGTGCTTTGTAAATAGTAAGCATATTGTAAACATTAGCTATTATTGCTATTTTCATTGACCAATAATTATCAATAAATTTTGTCCGAAGTAGTACTGCCATTTTGTTACTAGGTTTTTGTCTTCCTTATGTTCTACAAGTGCCTAGGTGAGGCACTAGGCCAAGTGCCTGACACATAATTTTAATATTTAAGTGATTATGTTCGGTTATATGAAATAGACCTGTTCTATGAAAAGAAATTTTACATTCTGAAATTCAGAAGTTTTATAACTACAAAACTAATTATTGCAGGCAATGGAGTTTTGTTTCTTTTTTACTAGAGGCCCAAGAAATACTTTTGTTTTAATATTACCCTTACAATTTTAACAGTTACATTTGTTTTTGGTCAGGAAAAGGCACCAAATAGCTCCTCTAACTGCCCTCCATCTACACCAACTCCTGAAGCCTCTAAGCCTCGGAGAACAAAGCTTGCCTTTGATGACAGGTGAGATAAATGTGATTCTTGGGGTGGGTGGGTTGTTTGTCTCTAATGCATTCCAGAAATGGTTCCAGTCAGCATATAAGAAACTCCTTTAGTTTCTTTCAGTGAGCAGATGTCATACTGCCTTGTGATCCACAAAATATTGGAAGGCAGCCATTTATTAAAGTATTGCTCCTTTATCTTACCTCCATGACTCTTTTCAAAGACATGAGAGTGTGATTGCAGTACCTGTTGCTGCTGCTGGTGTCACTTTACAGTAGGGGCTTCTTAAATAAGTAAGAGCTATGTTAGCTTTTTCCTTTCCTTTGGTTAAAGATTATTTCTCCGCCTACATTTTATTCACTCTGTATCTCCCCAACAGTTTGGTATGTAGTATTTAATAGTAGGGAGTTTGCCTTTATTTTTCTGACTAGAAAATTTGCCATGAGTTGGCCAAAGCAATTTTGCTCTTACCTTGATATAAACTTTTGTCAGAAGATATTGAAATGTATAGGAATAGCTCATTTTCTTTAAAGACGTGGAAACCAAGGGGTGCTAGAGACTGAAATGATCTACTGTTATCATATGAAAATATCTACCATTTTAAATAAAAACTTATATATATTGCAGAAATTACTCAGCAGACCATTATTTACAAGAAGCAAAAAAACTAAAGCACAATGCAGATGCATTGGTATGTAACTATTTTTGCATTTATATATTTAATCAAATTAACTTCACTTGTTTCTTTGTCCCCATAATACATCAGTGCAGCTCTCATCACTTTATTCTTCTGTCTTCAGTCTGATAGGTTCGAGAAAGCTGTATATTATCTTGATGCTGTGGTTTCTTTCATTGAATGTGGGAATGCATTAGAGAAAAATGCTCAGGAATCCAAATCCCCATTCCCTATGTATTCAGAGACAGCAGATCTCATCAAGTAAGTGGCCATGTTATTTCTCTGGTCCATGAAGGAAGGGGCTGGAGTAACTGTGGTCAGCTGTTATTCATTGATGTGTGAAACATTCTGAGAAATATGTTGTTAGTTGATTTCATCATTGTGTATATGTCATAAACTATAATTTTACACAAATGTCTGCAGTGTAGCCTATGACACACCTAGGTGGTCTATCACTGACTGAAAGGTCAGTAAGCAGCACATGTGTGTATGCATGCAGTAAAGCTGAAGAAGATGCCTGACCCATTGCTCTCTTTGCAGAAGGGTATATGAATACTTCAGTATATATTTTTGCCTTAATTTAATCTTTTTTCTTACGTATTAAAGACAAAGAAAATCCTGAGATTGAAATGGAGTATCATATAGCGTGCCATTTGTTTAATTCACAGATATACTATGAAGCTAAAGAATTATTTGGCACCAGATGCTACAGCTGCAGATAAAAGACTTACTGTACTTTGGTAAGTGTTGTGTTTGGTCAATTTTTCTAGCCTGCTGCTATATGACAGGCAGTTCCATGATAAATTGTGCTCTGTACGTTCTTCTCAAAGTTACTCTTCAGTCAACTTTCTAACCCAGTAGTAAGTCTAGCTAGTCTTGATGGGTGAAGTAGAAAATAACAGTTTCTACTGAAAGATTTTAGCTGTCACTCTCTGATCCCTTACTAAGGTTTACAAAAACCTTAGTAGAGTGGGGCTGATAAAGGAAACTTATGTTACCTTTCGTTGAGTTACCAAATTTTTGTTTTTAATTTTAGATTATAATTTGATACAGTGTTTTGGTCTCTCCGTTTTCTTTAATGCATACATTATAATGACACATTGTCATACTGAGAGTGAGGTTTTGATATTTGAATGTCACCTTATAGAAGGCGGGTCTTTGGTCTCTTCCCCCTTCTACTTAGAGTATGTACCAATAGCAACTAGCAAATGAGCCATGTTCTTTATTGAGAAATAGCTAATTATGTAACTAATTATAACTTAAGAGTTTGTGTTGTTGACTTTATGCCACTGTCGGCTCACACAAGCCAGCCCTGTGCTCCTGTGCTCTTGAAAGCTTGTCTGTACACATGTGACCAGAGCCTGCTGTCCTGGTCAATAAACTGCTCTTTTCATTGGCTAGCCTGCGATGCCAGTCTCTGCTGTACCTGAGGCTCTTCAAACTGAAGAAGGAAAATGCCCTGAAATACTCAAAGACGCTGACAGAGCACCTGAAGGTAAGTACAGAACAAGAGGGCCATTCCCCGGGAGCGCAGGTGCATGTCTCCTAGGAGATGCCATCTTGCAGTGGAGGAGCTGCTGTTTGGGAACTTTCAGAGAAGTTTGCGATTTCTTGGAACATTTTCAGATGCACATATTTCTGGGTCTAGAACCTATTTAGCCATATGTAGCAGCTCTTAATAACATTCCAAGCCTCTCTCTATCATAAAACCTAATATATACTTTTAAAAATTCTTTTGTTTTCACTCTCATGCCTCCTTAGACTTTCAGTTTCCTAAAGAAAGTTTTTCTGTCTTTTTTGGACATGATTACATAAACTTTCCTTATATTCTACTTGATTATGACATGCTACCCTTATCATTACTTTGAGGTTATGTCCAGGTTTCAAGGTCACTCACTTCTTTCAGCACCTTAGCTCTTATACGTTATCATTTCTGCAGCCTTTGTACACAGTGAGACTCACCTCTGTATCCCTCACCTCTCTTTACCCTTATGAATGTTGCTCTTTCTCCCTGTAAGTCCTCTGAAAGATCCCAGCTGTCAGCTAAAACACTTCCTGTTGTACATTCATACCCGAGCACAACACATGCATACACACACCCTCAGAGTAAGCTTTCTAATTATTGAAGCTTTTTAGGATCATTTTGGTCCCCGTGCCTTTGAATTTTATTTTACTTAGTACTTCATAAATAGTGGGTTTTTTTGTTTTTTTTTTTACTAAATACATTTTATTTTCTCTGCAGAATTCTTATAATAATTCTCAAGCACCATCACCTGGTTTGGGAAGGTAGGTGAATTTTATTCTGTGAAGTACTATTTGTGGCAAGTCTAGCTTTACATAAAAAGAGGATGAATTGCCAAAAAAAATGGAAATACAACTTTTTAAAAATTAATACTACCTGTAATAAAATATTTTTAGAAGTTGTTTTTTCATGTTTATTTTTACTGATTGAATATATAATGGCATAAGCTTAGAAAGATGAGAGGTGGGAAAATTCACCTATGGAAGTATGAGTTTTTTACATTCCCGCAACCTATTTTGGTTTTTATTGTAAAGGATCTATCTCTACCAATGTCAAGACACTATCAGAAGTTAGTAATGGTAACATCATTGGTTTTTCCACTATAGTCACAATCACTGCCATTCCACCCACCTCCGTGAAAGTTTATCTGTTCAATGATTATGTTCATTGGCATTTTGTCTTTGCCCTTATGTATTTCCTCAACCAAATTTAAAGTGCTTAAAGTACAGATAGAAATATTGTTAGGTGCCCTCCCCACATGGCGCAGCAGGACTCTCCTGACTCGACCGCTGCTCCCCTCAGCAGTATACTTCCTGGATCTGCCTGTTCTGCTCTCCACTCTGTCTCTGGTGAAGCCTCTCACCACCCCGGCATCTCTGGCCTGTACCCTAG